TGATCTGATCTTTGTCTTCCTTTGATTCAGCTTGAAAGACGAAACAAATGAAAGAAAGAGAAGCTCATGAACTTGCCCCTGAACCTCGTAACCTCGGTAAAGTGTCTTCGCCCCTAAACCTTCAAGTGTTTCAAGGAAAGACGAAAGAGAAAACCTGAACCTGCCCCTAAAAATGTTGAAAGTCAATCATCAAGATTAATTCTTGAGCTTCCCCTTCACCTGAAAGTGTTGAAATTCAAGACTCAACATTCATTCGATTTCACTCGGTAAAGAAGCTGTATGAGAATCAGGTCAAGCCAAGCTCCTTTTCTTTTCCGATATTCCCTTCTTGCTTTCACTCTTGAACGAGGTAAATAGGTTAGTTACTTCTGTCCTTTACTTTACGGGCTCGTTGCTGTGCTCCTGAACCTGTCCCTTCTATCTGTGATTGTGAGTTATTCTCAGTTCTTGTTTGTTATTATCAGTTATTGTGACTTATTCTTTCACTGTAAACTCAATCACCTCTCCAACTCGGTCTCTCTCATGGCTTCGCCCCTGCCTGGACCTTCTTCACCTGCAAACAATCAGTCTTCGTCTTCTTCCTTATCCTCTCCCTGAACTGTAAACACTCGATTCATTCTCCTCCGATGCCTTATCCTTTTTCCTTCTTGCTTTCACTCTTTGACTCTCCTGCCTGTAACCAAGGGAAGCCTCAAGATTCATTCTCCTTATTTCCCTCGGTAAAGCATATGAAATGAATTTACTCTTTCTCCTTAACTAGGTAAACTAGGTAACCTAGGTAAGCTGGATGAAAGGTCAAGCTCATGAACCGAAACCTTCTTGCTTTCACTTATTCACCTTTTCCTTCTTGAACAGATCTTTCTCGTCTCGCCGCTACTTACTCCTGAACCTATACCCATTTATTCTTTAATTGATCTTTGTTCTCTCCCTTAGTACTTCCTCATTCAGCTTTTCTGATCGATATTACCTTCCCTTCACCTATTTATTCACTGTAAACACTCAAGCAAGATTCATTCTAGTTTACGAACTTCACTCATCTGATTGAACGGTAAACTAAGTCGAAAGATTAATGAGACTGAACAATAAGGAAAGAATAAACTCTCAATTAATGAGATAGAACTTGCATATTCAATCCTTTTCCTGATTTCACTGTCAAAGAATAAGAAAGATGAATGATCCTGAACTATTGAACCTGAAAGTGTTGAAAGTCAAGACTCCTTATTCATTCTTTCTCTTCAACTTCTTTCACTGATCTTTCTCCAGAACCTGTCAGTTGAACAATTCCCTTCCTCCTTCCCCTGCCCCTCTATCTTGTTAATTTACTCGACTGTAAGTAAGAAAGATTCATTCGACTGATTCGCCTCTCCCTATTGATTCGTTCATTTTACTAGGATTGAACTAAACTAGGTAAGCTGGATGAGAAAAAGGTAAAGCGACTGAACTGAAAGGAAAGACTTTTGATGAATGAGAACATATGAAATCCGATTCCTTCATGATCCTTCACAGCCAGGAAAGAGGTAAACTCCGGAACTACTGAACCTGAAAGTGTTGAAAGTCAAGACTCCTTATTCATTCTTTCTCTTCTCCTTCTTTCACTCTGTTCACTCTTGTTGAACTATTCTTTCACTGTCAGTCAAGACGAAACGAAATCCGAAAGAGAAAACCTTTGACTGATTGAACTCGTGTAAAGACCATGAATTCGAAAATGCTATCCTCTCCCTATTTTTTTGGTCATTTTCTTCTTCTTTCACTCTTTAAGATCATCAATAAATAAATTCTATCCTTCCCTGATTTTTAGGGCTATAGGTAATTTAGCAGGATGAGTATCAGAAGAAAGATTAATTCGACTGAACAGGACTATTACTTTTTCACCTTCCCCTTCACCTTCAAGTGTTGAAAGTCAATCCTCAAGATTCATTCTCCTTAACTCATTGTTCCGTTCGAGTTCGTTATTATCAGTTATTGCGAGTTATTCTTTCACGAGGTAAAGTAAAGCAGCTGAGGATTGAATTTACTCTCACTTCTTGATTGAACAAGGTAAAGCTGTTTGACGGTCTCATTGTTGCGCTCCTCTCCCTTCAAAGACTCGGTAAAGCTCCTTCACCTATCGGTCTCATTGCTTCGCTACTTTACCGGACCCTGATTGAACTCCTTTTCCTGTCTCCTTTCTTTCATAGTAAACAAAGACTCCTTATGAATGAGACTCAACCTTAAACCTTTTCCTGATTTCACTCAAACAAAGATAAGGTAAAGCTCCTCTCCTTCGATCGATTCCTTTCCTTCTTAACTGCTTAACTGCTTTTCTTTTCTTGACTCTATGCCCTTTTTAACTCTAAACTGGGAATCTTAGCTCTGATCTTTATCTTTCTCCTTATTCTCTCAAACACTTGTTTTTCTTTCATTTTCGTCTCCTCCCCTCTTCCATTCCGTCCCGAAGAGTGACCGTGACCAATTCCGTCACATTTTCATTCATTCATTTGGAATCTGGGCTCTTGTCATTTTGATTGACTTATTTTTCCCTCTCCCTCTTTCTTTTTCTTTTTTGATTCCCTTGGATCATTCCTTACTTAAGTCCCATAGGTTTGATCCTGTAGAATCTGACCCATTTTTTCTTTGATTGAGCGAAAGGTACGAAGATTGATTTTTTGAAGTACTATGTTATGTGACATCCTCAGATTTTTCCTCTTTCTCTATCCCTATCTCGCGAGTACAGTGTTTGAATCATTAGAGAACCTTTTCGTTTGTATCCCTATGAATCGATATTATTACATTCCAATTCCTTCCCCCCGATATCTATTTCGAATTGGATCCTAAATTGACGGGTTAGTGCGAGCTTATCCATGCGGTTATGCACTCTTCGAATAGAGGAATCCATTTGATGAAAGATTCTGCCTTTCGTGCCTTGGTAGGTCTCCGAGATCCTTTCGATGACCTATGTTGTGTTGAAGGGATATCTATCCGATTGATTGCGTAAAGCCCACGGTAGCAAGGGAACCGGGCCAAGTATACAGAAACGACAGTTCTTTTCTATTCTCTATTAGTATTAGATTAGTATGAGTTAGTGATCTCGGCTCAGTGAGTACTTTCTTCCTTCCGTGATGAACTGTTGGCACCAGTCCTCCATTTTTTCTCTGTGGATCGAGGGGAAAGGGGGCTTAGCGGGAAGAGGATTGTAACAAGTGAGAGAAGGAAGGAGGTCAACCTCTTTCAAATATACAACATGGATTCTGGCAATGCTCGGAATGATTCATCCTTTCCACGGAGGTCAATCTTTGCCTGCTAGGCAAGAGGATAGCAAGTTACAAATTCTGTCGCGGTAGGACATGTCGATTACTATAAAATGAATAAATTCAGTCGTTAATGGTGGGGTTACTTACATACCATTATCCTCTTTGCAATGAGTATGTGTTCCGAAGAAAAGTTGTTCATTGGGGTCTCGAAGGGGCGTGGAAACACATCAAAACTTTGGAATGGAAATAGAAAAGAGATGTCACTCCAGTTACTTTGAAAATGGTAAGATCTTTAGCACAAGAAGAAGGGGTTGATCCGTATCATCTTGACTATGTTCTTCTTTCTCTCTTTTTTTTTTCATAATACCTCGTTGGTTGAGTTCTTTTCCTACCAGTATCGAATAGAACATGTTGAGCCAAATCGTTTTCATGTAAAACCAGCTTTATTTAGATTGGGAAAATCGTACGGTTTTATGAAACCCTATGGCTTGAATCCGTAGTCAATCCTATTTACGATACGAAGGAGCAGTTGACAATTGAATCCAATTTTGCCAATTATTTGCACGTATCCTTAATAATGCGAAAAGAAGGCCCAATTCCAAGTTGTTCAAGAATAGTGGCGTTGAGTTTCTCGCCCCTTTGCCTTAGGATTAGCCAGTTCTATTTCTAGGGGCAAGGGAAGGGATATAAGTCAGCGTTAGAGTCTCGCCTTGACTTGGCTCATCGGTTCGAGCCTGATTATCCCTAAACCCAATGTGAGTTTTTCTATCTATTTTGACTTGCTCCCACGCCGTGATCAAATGAGAATGGATAAGAGGCTCGTGGGATTGACGTGAGGGGATGGGGCTATATTTCTGGGAGCAAACTCCAGGCGAATATGAAGCGCATGGATACAAGTTATGCCTTAGAATGAAAGACAATTCTGAATTTGCTTTGTCTACGAACAAAGAAGCTATAAGTAATGCAACTATGAATCTCATAGAGGTGGCTTAGGAGTTGAAAATCAGCGTAGATCTGGAGATTCCCGAATAGGTCAACCTTTCAAACTGCTGTTGAATCCATGGGCGAACTAAAACATCTTAGTAGCCAGAGGAAAAGAAAGCAAAAGCGATTCCCGTAGTAGCGGCGAGTGGGAGCAGCCTAAACAGTGAAAACGGGGTTGTGGGAGAGCAATACAAGCATCGTGCTGCTAGGCGAAGTGGAATCCCGTGTGAATCAGACCACCTTGCAAGGCTAAATACTCCTAGGTGACCGATAGTGAAGTAGTACCATGAGGGAAGGGTGAAAAGAACCCCCGGGGGAGTGAAATAGAAGATGAAATCGTAAGCTTCCAAGCAGTGGGAGAAGACTAGGACTCTGACTGCATGCCTGTTGAAGAGTGAGCTAGCGACTCATAGGTAGTGGCTTGGTTAAGGGTCGGAGCCGTAAAAGCGAGTCTGAATGGGGAAATTGTCACTGCTTATGGACCCCAACCTGGGTGATCTATCCATGACCAGGATGAAGCTTGGGTGAAACTAAATGGAGGTCCGGACCGACTGATGTTGAAGAATCCGCGGATGAGTTCTGGTTAAGGGTGAAATGCCATTCGAACCCAGAGCTAGCTAGTAATCCCTGAAATGCGTTGAGGCGTAGTACTTGACTTGAAAACTAGGGGTAAAACATTGTTTCGATGCGGGCTGCGAGAGCGGTAACAAATCGAGGCAAACTCTGAATACTAGATATGATCTCAAAATCACAGGGGTCAAGGTCGGCCAGTGAGAGGGGTGTAAGCTTCATCGTCGAGAGGGAAATAGCCCGGATCACCAACTAAGGCCCCTAAATGACCGCTCAGTGATAAAGGAGGTAGGGGTGCAGAGACAGCCAAGAGGTTTACCTAGAAGCAGCCACCCTTGAAAGAGTGCATAATAGCTCACCCAAGATGAACGGGGCTAAGCGATCTGCCGAAGCTGTGGGATGTCAAAATGCATCGGTAGGGTAGCGTTCCGCCTTAGAGGGAAGCACCCGCGCGAGAAGTGGTGGACGAAGCAGAAGCGAGAATGTCAGCTTGAGTAACGCAAACATTGGTGAGAATCCAATGCTACGAAAACCTAAGGGTTTTTAAGCAAGGTTCGTCCATGGAGGGTGAGTCAGGGCCTAAGATCAGGCCAAAAGGCGTAGTGGACAGTGATCCATCCAGTCTACCCCTTGTTGGTCCCGAGGGACAGAGGAGGCTAGGTTAGGCGAAAGATGGTTATCGGTTCAAGGACGCAAGGTGTGTTTTTTACAGTTAAAGAATAGTGAAAGAAGGAAAAGGTGAAGACAAGAGAAAAAAAAATAGGTTCAAGAAGGATTGAATATGCTTGACCGAGTGAAAGAAGAAATAGAAAAAGGAGAGAAGACATAGATAGTGAAACCCCAGTTGGAAAGGTGAAGTAGTGATTGAGTTCAGTCTCTTTCCTTCCAATTGAATTACCTCATAAATGAACCTAAACATAGGGAGAGGCATCAATTAAATAAGAATAAATGGTTCTTACAGTCGAATTCATGTTTCATTTGAGAATCAATAGGTGAAATCAAAGGTTCAGTTAGTCGCTTCGCTTAATCTCATTTGACTCTCCTCGACTGTAAAGTCTCATTCATCTTGAGTCTTGACTTACAGTGAACTCTCATTCATCTTGAGTTTCGTCTTACAGGTCAGGGAATAAATAGCATATAGGGGGGAAGGAGCTTATCTCTCTTTCTTTCCGTCCTGTTCCGTCTCATTCATCGAGAGTGTTTACCGGAGAATTCTTGTTTCATTTTCTTCTCCATTCATTTCTTCTTTCACTGTAAAGTCTCATTAATAAGGAGTTTCGACTTTCCTTTCTTTTTCAGGTTCAGGTTCAGTAGCTCTCGGTTCAGGTTTCTTCTTTCATTCATTTACGACTGTAAAGGATGTGGAAGTGCATTGATGTATGCAGCTGAGGCATCCTAACAGACCAATAGACTTGAACCTTGTTCCTACATGACTCGATCAATTCGATTAGGCACTCGCCATCTATTTTCATTGTTCAACTCTTTGACAAGATGAAAGAAAAAAAAGCTCTCCCTCTCTATCTATCCAAGGGATGGAAGGGCATAGGCCTTTGGTGTCCCCTCCAGTCAAGAATTGGGGTCTCACAATCACTAACCAATATGCTTTTCTCTCATGCCTTTCTTCTGGTTCGATATTCTAGTGTCTTAGGCGTAGAGGAACCACACCAATCCATCCCGAACTTGGTGGTTAAACTTTATTGCGGTGACAATACTGTAGGGGAGGTCCTACAAAGAGCTCGACGTCAAGATGATAAAAAGCTTAACCCCCTCTAATTCTTATTACTTTTCAATATTCAACAATATAGAAAAACACTAACAATAAAAAGGTCGTCTTATTCAAAACCCCTTCTCTCTCACTTCACACCTTGGAATGCACCGTTCTTATAGAGGCGCTTTCACATCTGTCTTCTTAACTCGAAATGGCAAATGGTTGGGGAGAGGAAAGGTTCCTTTTTTTAGTGTACCCTCGGGAACAGATCCAGTGGAGACGGGGTGGGGCCTATAGCTCAGAGGATTAGAGCACAACCAGGGTGTCGGGGGTTCGAATCCCTCCTCGCCCCACAACCGGCCAAAAAGGGAAGGACTTTTCCCTCTGGGGGTAGAAAATCATGATCGGGATAGCGGACCCAAAGTTATGAAACTTGGGTGTGGGTCTTTTGTCGAAATGGAATGGCCTTATCTTTTTCATTAAAGGGTTAAAGGGGGTTCCGTTATAAATTCAATATAGTATACCCTCTCCGAATCAGCATCTTTTTTTGTTTTACGCCCCGTAATTCTTCTTGAGCCAGGCTTCTGCAGAATAGCTAAGCAAGTACAAGTACAAGTATGAGAATTCACTTAATTGGCTAGTTGTAAATAGACCGAGACTGTGTAACAAAGGATTATCCCAGACCTACACCATTCTCAAATATCGCAGAATAGAGAGGGAACGGAACGGGTTACCTACTCTTAATGGTCAGAACCCTTATTATTATTATTATTAAAGAATTCTGCAAGCGGAACGTAGGCGCTTTAGGTTAGGTGTGTGTTGACCATGCACTCTCGCGGAAGGAATGGAATGTCGTATTTCTTATATAGGTGGTGTGGTGATTGACCTCAATGCTAATGGTTATCCCTAAGGTTCAATGAATGAATCAAGCTATGATCGTACCCAGGGATGATGGTCTTCCTCTTCTGTCTCCAAGCCGGCCATAATAGAATAGATAGGCAAAGCTGCCAATAAATAGCTGTCTGTTCTCGCCTATCGATAGATAGTAGGGTGCTTCCAAGCTCAAACCATTGGAAACAAAATTGCTACTTTCTTCTTGTTATTGATAGAATAGAATGGTATTCCCCGCCCTGTCAAATCTAGTCTAGGGAGAGAACTGGAAGAGAGAAAGAACAAAGATAAGAGAAAAGGATTATTAAGTCTAATGGAAGAAGAATGGCTGACCTTTTGAAAGAATACAAGGATGCCTTCTTGACTTCAAAATCTAACCCAAGCTAACCCACGGGGCGGGACACAATCGAAAGGCGCTAGACGGACTAACGACAAGCGAGAGAAAGTGCCCCTATGTGTAAAACCTTGCCGCGGGAGAGTCTTTCGCCAATGAGAATACATAAAGTTTTTGGGAAAGACAAGAAAGGAACTCGCCGAAGGGATAAGAGCGGATTGCTGACGATGACTTGGTGAAGGGAATCTATGAGAGAAGGTTATCGAACCGGGTTCCGACCGAATAGAGCGCAGAGCCAACAAGTTCAATCTAACAGTGTAATGAGTCTAAGGGCAGAATAAAGCTTGAAAGGAATGGGCGTAGGCTTAATAGTGAACACTGCTTCTCGATATGAAATCAATGACTTCAAAGACAGATGCCGAGAGAAGGAGACTGATATATTGCGTTGTGAAGAGAGATCGAAGACGCAGATTTTCTGACGTTGTGTGGGCACTAGATGGAAAAGATAGAGAACAGAACAACCCACCGGAAGGGCATACCTTAGGAGCACCCCCGACAAACATCGAGATGCACGAAGCTGACCTATATCTCGAAAGAAAAATGCAGGAAAGACAAATGAAAGATGAAAGCCAAAATCCAGGGAGTGTGAGATACGCGGACAGGGAGTACGCAGCCGAACGCAGGGGCTTCCAACAGTGATAGCTGTCCCCACCAGATGGGCCGCTCAAAACCTGGAGCTAAGATTTCAATAAAAAATCCACGTCGGATCACTGCGAGAAGCAAAAGGCAGACTGAAGCTCCGGATCACAAAATGCAAGACAACAAGGGGAAAACCAAGCGCTTGCGCGAAAGAAGAAGCAAATCAAATGGAGACATGGAGAAGAGGCGAAAGAGAGATTTTTCGAGCCTGCAAGCTGCAAGCAACAACGGCGAAAAAGCCATTGCGCGCTAGCTTGTAGTTTAGGGGTCTCGTAGGGGTGCCCTTTTCGAAAACAGATATCCTTTCTACGGTTAGCTTTTTAGAACCCTTTTCGAAAAGAAGCTTACTTTTTTCAGCTGCATTGCACTGCCGCATAAACAATGGATCTGCTCGCTGGGCTGGATGAGCTACCTTCTATCTATCTAGCCTTTGTACTAACTAGTAATGGAGTGGCTTACTACTTTCAATCATCAAAGGAAAATGGAGCAAGGGAGAAAGAAGTTGTCCCCTCTTCTATGGTAACCCGCCGCCGGTCATCTAGAGTGCTCCGCCCGCCACCGCATATCTAGAAAAAGAGGGAGCGGGGAAGGAAGAACAACCGTTTGACTTTTGTTCATGAGCTGGGGGGTTTGACTAGGTAACATAATGGAAATATATCGGACTGAAAATTCTGGAATGACGGTTCGACCCCGTCCTTGGCCTCAGGGAGTAGCGAGTTGCATAGAACGATCATTAATCAAAGGGGGCTTCCCAACAAAGGAAATCAAAAGACAACATTCTGGAACTTCCAAAAACCAAAGAAATGCAAGATACATGAGAAGGAGCTTTTTACGTAACGCTTCCATAGAATGAATTCGGTAAGGGTAGAATACGCCCCATGGTCGATCGAAGGTCCTGTGCCACTTTCCTCCAATCTATCTAACCTTCAATCCATCTTTCTTTGTCTAGCCAGCTCATAACCAAATCTTAGACGAGACTGACACAAACAACCTTTTTCGTTTTGGTTGAGGAAAAGGAAGAAACCCCAGCGACCAAGCACTTCTACCCCCAAAAGCGGAGACCGAACAACCGCCAAGTTGTCGAGGACACGTCTGAAGAGGAGGCGGGCACCCTATCAGTTTACCACCCTACCCACTAATGGACTATGAGGGAGCGGGCAGGCGAACGGGAACCTGCCGAGAACCTGAACCGCTTGACTGACTGGAATACTCAATTTCATTAGGGTCAAGGATGGATGAAACCAATCATCATCGCGCAAGTGAAGACGGGAAACAGACCACTGCACAACGACTAGAACTCGTGTACGAGGAGTTTTAAGCGTGAGCTACCACTCATGCAAAAAGACCAGCAACTCTCGAACAGGAAGAGGACACCAACTGCCCGAATCACTGTAGCAAAACCTCCCTTTACTCAATGGATAGCCCTTATTCAAGAGAAAAAAGAAGAAATAAGGGAGAAACTAGTGATGATTGCCATGAAAGCAACCTTCGAGGGCATGTACAATCTAGTCTTTGCTCCTATCAACATGGTGCACCTCCACGTAGAGGGTCCTGTGGAGACTATGACCGAATTAATAGGGAGAAATTGCTCGACATTTTGATTGAGGAAGAGAATCTAGGATTCACGCTTTTTTCCTTTGATATGTGCTGATGCG